TTTATTGGTTTTTCCCATTTGCCTTTCAAACTTATATATATATATATATATGAGATATATTAATTAAAAAACGAAGAAATAAGTAAGCCTTCAGTCTCATGGTTCAAGAATTCTTCATAATAGTTTTTAGGTTAGGTTATGTAGACAAATATATTTAGAACATTTAATGCAATAAAGATATGTTTATGTATTTGATATATTTGAAGAAATTTTAAATAATGAAGTGTTCTTGAAACCTTCAATGTTTCACAGGATAGTCAGTCGATAGATTCGTATTCAGAGCAAGTTAACAACGGGGAAGCATTACAAGCTTGTAAAAATTCTGTTATTCAACCATACCAAAAACTACTGACCATCGTAAGTATTCAATATATAATATGACAGCAAAAAAACACCAAAAAAAAACAAACAAACAAACAAAAAACCCCGTTATCGTAAGGTTCGTGAACTTTGTCTCGAGGTTATGTAAAAAATTGTTAAATCTTTGCAGCAACGTTAGTAACTTTACATTGGTAATTACCTATAAAGTATGTAAGTGGTTTATTTATTTTCAATCTTTCGACAAAGAACAGAAAAAGTTGGACAGGGGTGCCGAGGAAAAGCAAAAGTTCAAAAACTGTCACCAATTGATGTGCTTAACCGAACCCTGCCAACAAAAACAATACAAACCAAAATTAAAAAAAATAATAAAAAACAAAAAACGATACTGAAAGTCTTCATGCAGAATAGATGACACCTCTCACGAAATGATCAATTTTATTATTTGAGAATGAAAGTTATTACAATCTCAATCAGTATAAAAAGTATTCAGAATATCTAAGTGAGGCTATTAGCGGTCCACTTGATAGGTAAGTCATGAATGCATGATACCATATAAAACACTAATTAGTCCAATTATTTTAAAGGGATAAAGTTAGTTGCGAAGATATGGAAGTTCAATGACATGTCCATAAGGAAATTGCTTCATTTGAAACACATATACAGTGGAACCTAAATTTTACACACACAAACAAAGGTTCTACAAAAAATACGTTTTGAACACCAAACTGTAACCTTATCGTTATTATAACATAATTTTTTTTTTAATTAAAAAACACAAAGCAAATTCATATTTTGAGAATTTACTAATTTACGACTTTTTAATGCATCCTTTTATAATTAAACAACTTCAAGATGTAGAATACAGTAAGGAGGCTACGTTATTTGACGAAAGAATTTGTTTTTCTCATTATGATTTTCAAATGAAAGCCTTAAAAAGTAAAATGCAAGTATTTTCTTTTTTCAAATTTCTTAGCTTATCACATGAAAATATACATACAGTAATATTTATATAAACCTAATTACGGCACGTCGCACAAATGTAAATCAAATTCATTAAAGTTTCCCATTAAATCTTTGTGCAGCTTGGGTGGCGACCAATATTCACTGCGGTGCCTTATCACAACCAACCATCAAGATGTGTGCGCCCCATCAACTTTTTCTATCCGATGTTAGTCTTCTGTGTCATAATTCTGAGCTTCCTTCTCCAGTTTGCTTCATGCTATCGTGTCAATATAAATATCCCTCAACAAGTAAGTTTACATGAGAATTATACACAGTGTACTATTGCCTGGCCTGGCGAATAGTGTGTTTTAATTTCAGTTTGTAACTCACTTAATCTGTAGTCACTTGGTTTATGTCTTAGCTTTCTGTTTGCCTGGTGCTGCTAAGTGATATAAGGCAAAGCATGTTTCCATTGGTTTGAAGTTTGATTGATGGTTTTCCCAATATTTTGAGGGATAGATCAATATTTAACTACGCAAATTGGTGATAATCAGAATAAAAAGTTGATTAGAGCGGAAAAATAAATTCCACTTGCTTTTTCGTTGTGACAATGAGAATGTAATTACAATATCAAAATAATATTGAATTCGAACGATACAAGGAACGAAACAATTCGTTTTTCACTAATTTAACTTCAGTTTAACTTAAAAGCGACTCCACCAACTATGCAAACAGTTTTATCTATATGTATGTTAAATGGTGAAGTAATAATAATTAATTATTTTCTTCATTACTTCAGCTTATAGGCAATATAAATTTAATATACATTTAACAACATGCATGCCTATTCGTATAACTTGTGAATATGTCTGATGTATTTTTTTTAAAACAATACACCTAAAATATAATTTGCAGCATGAGTCTTACAAATATCTATTTGTAGAGAAACGCGTCATCAATGCGTCACAATTTCTTAGACTGTCAAGAGTTTATGATCAGTCAGTATATAATCCCAGATGTACTGCAGTTAACAGCTTACGTTTACGCATATTATATCTACAAAGTATGGGACAAGGAACAGCTTCAGACGCTCATTGAACGAGTAAGTGATAGGCACACAACTATGTTTAAAATCATTATTTGTTCATAAAATCAAACCGACGATCGTAAATTATATCATCATCATCATCGTCGTCGTCGTCGTCGTTCTTATCATCATCGCCATTGTCGTGGCCTTTGTTGAAGTCGCCGTCCTGCTCCTCCTCTTCGTGATCATCATCACCATCATAATCATCATCTCCTCACCATCCTCTTCCGCCTTAACATCATCACATCATCCTCACCATCACTATCAGCATCATCGTCATCATCATCATCATCATCATCATCATCATTATTATATGCTTACAGTTATTATAATATCCCGTTATACTAATAACTGTACTATTATCTAATGACTGAGATGATTACCATTACGTCACATGTCACAGGTTTTCTTAAAGAGCGGTTCCAATAAGTGTGGCCTTTCTCCACGACAATTAGCCAAAACTATGAAAGCATTTGTGGTACTAGGATTTTTTTGGATCGTCTGCGCCATCAGTGTGCAGATCTTACACGTGATTTCTCAAGAACAGATGTCATTTACATTCCTTCATGTCAGGTAGGATATTAAATATTTAAGTTTTAACCCTTCCCTTGGTTGGCTTTTGTTTGTATCAAAAGACGAATTTCCACTTTACATTATGTTATGTTGAACAATAAAGATTGATTTGATTCCCCCACCATATTGCCCAGATTTCTGTTGGCTCATAACTTATTAATGTGAAAATTGGTAGCGATATCGTGGTGTGGTGAGGGTCCATACAGAAAACTATCTTTCGTGACTAAATTAGCAGTAAAAACAAAAATGGATCCCGCGCCTCATTTCGTATCCAATATATGATGGGTTGCAAGATAACAATTGTAACAATTATGCAAAAGAGGCAGACCTGACACTAGCACAAAAGGAAACACACGAAAGACAGAATTATATATTGTGTTTACGACCATTACTATAGCAGTGACACTTAAAATATTCTTATTTCAGCTCTAATGCTCAGTACTATACTCTTGTGATTCTCATGTTACTGGGATGTGTTATTCTCGATACTGTATACGTCACCGCAATAATCGACTACGTCACACAGTGTCAACTCTTAATATATTTACTACAAGGTTTATGTGACCGTGTAAGAGAGAGAACTATAGATTTAGAAGAAGCCATTAAAGTGAGTTTAATATGGAACACTACATATATTATAATATCTAGACACTACATAATAAGTTTGTTAAAATTTGGTAATATCAATCAATCAATCAATCAATCAAGGATAGATCGGTTTTATCAATGATAAAGTAACAAACATAAGAATATAATATAAAAGTAGTATAGAATATTATTTTTAATGTTTTAAAATCGACCTTTGGCAACAGGACACTCGCTTTTTAATGGCTGTTAAGCGTTGGCATAACAGTCTGTCTCGTGTGTAGGATAAGTCCTCAAAAACAGAAAAAAGATATTTAAATAGTGTGTTTTTCGGTCATAAGGAACGTCCTTGCATTATTGATCTTGCACACTGATCTGATTTTGAAGAGAAATACGAACAACATAAATAAAAATTACACGTGTTGACTGAGTGACAAAACACAAACATTCTGAAACATGGTTACGCAGAAAGTTCTTTAAAATCCACGTGAAGGTCAACTATTTGTTTGGATACTAGAAGGTTTCGAAATTGAAAATTTTGGATTGTTTTGTTTTGTTAAAACTTGAGGAGGTATCCCAGACAGTGATGAAATGCCCTTGAATAGAAGCCGTAAGGAAAGCGAAAGTATAATCGTAATGTAAGCGTCAAACGTCACAATTTAATTTTCTTTGTATCATCACAGGATATTCAAGAAGCAGAGACGCTATCCCGAATAGTCAATTATCGCATTGCGTCATGCATATCATTACTTTTATTCAATTTGGGTTTAATGGCTGTACTCGGTAAGTTTTCAGAGATATTTTGCAAACGATGACATTAATGTGATAGTAGTCTTACATTACTGTCTCATCGGAAGGCAAAATGAACATACGGTACTATCAAACCAAAGGCCAGCATGTGTTATTATTAGTAGGCCTAGTATTTTTAAATATTTATGTAAAGCTTGAAGAATTCTGTCAATTTCCATCTGCACGATAAACAACACTAAATAAGATATCAATTAGAGCGTTTTCAAAGTTAAATTGTTTAGATAAATAATGAATTCGCCCATTCGACTGTCTCGTTTTGTTTAGACTGTGTTGCGTTTGCTGACGGTAGGTTGTTAAATTTTACAACGTTAATGTACATGGCTAGCCTTTGTGGTGCAGTGGTTTGGATTTGTATTTCCGGAACTCCGTTCATACAGGTAGTCACTATTAGACATAGTATGTCATATGAATTATAAAGAAACCATAACAAAGAAAATACATATCTGTTGAAATCGTACACACGTAACCTTCAGAGAGACTTTCCATTAATTTTTCCTATCTTTCATTTAAAATAAGTAACCTATGTACAGCGCTAGCTGCACTACACTTTCTTAAATTTTGTCTTCTCACAGGCTGCTCGGCTTAACTCGGCATGTCGGGCAGTGCTGACACTGGGGCACGAGATACGCTCGAGACCGTTCGGCTTTCAAGATACACAAACGGGAGCTCTCGATTCATTCCTTTTATTTACATCCACTATCACGTTTAAGGTAAATAAAGATGGTAGTTGTATGAATCTATTATGTGTTATATACCGTGAAACCACTGTGGAAATACGTAAATATGTTAATTCCAAAAAAATCGTCCAGCAGTCTACTAATTCCAAAAAAAAAAAAAAAAAACAAAAAAAACAGAAACAAACAAAATAAACAAGTGTTTGCTGTACCACAATTATAAAATAATGATAACCTGCGTTTTCTAGTAGATATAATTTTAAATAAAATGTAATCTTTTAATTTACAGGCTAAACTGTTCCGAACAACAGTGAACTCGTCGTTTCTGTGCGTTTCTTTTACTATAATATCGTTTACATTACTCTTCCTCTTCCAATTGGAATTCTTTCAAGTTTGGAACTGATCATCAAGTTAGACAATAATGTTAATTTGGATTACATTATTTAATGATGACGGTATGTTCCGTTTGCTAGTGACAGTGCAACATTAGTAATTCATTGCGCACACTCATTGATGACATCACGTCATGTGTTGATAAGAGTGGTGGATATATATAAGTATAATGACTTTTATGTGCCTTCACAGTCGGATATTTTTAAGGACAGAAATAAAGAAAAGAACAGACTGAAAGAAAGAGAGAAAAGAGCAAAAAAAAAAAAAGAAGCAAAATAGAATCTATGAAAGACATCATCTGCCTTCTTTTTAGGGTTGTGCAGACTTTATGATGATGTGACTATGTGTTGCACAAGGGCATACTGTAGTATGTTGGGCGTTTTATTGAGGACAAATGTTGTCCATTCATCGACATCGACTTGTTGAGCATTAAAATGATGACCCCAATAAACCTTACTATCTTTAATATTTTTGCCAAAATTGTAACACGAAATAATTAGAATCCATGCTCATGGATAAATCATGGAACATTAAGATACCTACAATTTCTTTGTATACATGTCGATATGCCTCTATTTGGAAATAAATCGTGTGTATTGTAGCTACTAGGGATGGCAGTTTTTTTACAACACAAAAGTACTTTGTAGTTTTGTTAAAACTTTGAGAGTCAAACGTACGTATGAGAGGCTCGTTCAATGGTCAGTGAATAATAAAGCTGCACACTGCCTTTCAGCCAATTACAGAGAGAAACGCTCAGGTTATTTATCTTAAATTTAGTTTAACAGCAAGTGCATCCCATTTTAATAGACCTTCCAGAGTGCCAATCAAACTTGACCAACCAGAACAGTCAGGAATATGCGCGTGTCTAACAAACACATATGTTGTCCTACAAATGCAATGTTTGCGTATGTGAACCACTATCTCTATACATGTATATTAAGGGACCTCCTGACCAACAAAATTCAAGAGGTGGAGCTTAGTGGCAAGGGCCATTAGGAATACTGTATTCTTTTAAATATTGCATATTTTATGTTGAAAAAAATAAATAAATAAAAAATCTGATCGGTGACTCAAATTCTTTCTTGGGTTAATTAGTTATTGTCTGGTATGTTGGGGCGTGGGGCGGAAATCTTTCGCAAGGTGATAAGGAGAAATTACAAAGGTTTGTCAATAGGTTTTTGAGAGGATTATCAGTTCGCCACTGCAGACGGTGCACTCAGTCTACCTCGAGCGACTAGTTAATAAGTTCAATGACGAAAGTCATCCATTACATTTAACTATTACTGGTTGCTTTATACACCGCAGTGGTAGACTAAGGGTACTGGCTGCAAACACGAATAGATATCCTAAATCATTCATTCCGAGAGGAATTTGCCTCTTCAACAATTAGGTATGCTAGATAGTTTTTATTTTTCTTTGAGAGTGGAGGAAAAGAACACTGTAATTTCCAAATTTTTGGATGAATAAAGTGATGTCTATGTCTAAAGATGATAAAATATCTGCTACTTATAAAATAATAAATTATATGTCTTATTTGAATTTTGAGTGTTTGAGAGAATCACTTGTATTGATATTGTGGACAGATGAAGATATCAATTAAAAAGCATAATTTAAAGTTACAATAGAGAAACAACACCTTGGTACTGTATTGCCAAGGTAGTTGTATGTTGCGTATCAGATGTTCAGATGAGCATACGCATGTTCATATCAAGCACTCAAATCCTGTGACAAAACACATCGCATAAAGATACACAACACAAAATGATGAATTTCACCCAATATCTGTATTATTTACATAAAATCAATGGTAAAATACATTACCATACTTACTAAATTAAATCAAAATGTTTATCTTATTTTAAAAAATTATTTTGATAGTCAGCCCTGACCATGGAACTAGGCGAGTTTCAGACGACAGCTTTGGTTCTGTTTAATGCCTCTGTTTATGCAAAACCATAAATAATTGATTAAGCTCATCTTTTGATTAAGCACCAAGACAACTTATATATTTTCGCTAATATAGCATTCTTTTTTTTTTTTTGAATAAGTCATGGAATTTGATCGATCAAGAACACATTACCAATCAGGTCATTAATAAACAACTTACAGTATTTCTTAAGTTGTCAAATAGGTATACAAGTACAACACATAGTACCATTTCAACATATAAAACAGTTCATATTTATGTTCTGAGAATATTTTTGCCATGAAAATGGGTTCATATGGTAAAAATTTAAAGGATTTTGCCTATTATTACATCAAACATACACACAGGGGTAAAAAAGCTCAGTAGCTAGAGTATTAGTAGTAGAGATATATTTATTTTATAAGTAAAGAAATTTGACTGCAATTGCTATCACAGAAAGTACAAGAAATATTCATTTGGCAGGTTAAACTCCAAATGAATGTATGTTCATTGTAACAAACTGTTATTACAGTAAATAAAAAAAAAAATATAAGATAACTGTAAATGTTGTAGTTATAGACCACCAAGATTATGCTCTCATGCATGCATGATAAAGCGACAAGGGAAACACCACTACAATCATTTGTAATAAGCTCCAGGTATGAAATAGGCGCCATTATCGATTCTTGCAGCGCTCATTCAATCATTTACGGTATATTATCTTGTATGCCTTTGTATTAAATTTATGGACCAAAACTAAGATCACTATGAACTCCACAAATTAATATTGGTGCATGAATCAATACCTTCAGTAACAACACAGCATGTGATGGTCAAAAGTTATGACCACATCCAGTTCAAAAAGTTGCCCTCTGACACAACTCAGATGGCTACCATGGTACCACCATGGTGGTGGTACCATGGTGGTACAATCTTGAAAAACATTTTATAAAAAGGTAACTCAAGTTAACAACTTTCACTATAGTGGCAGAACCTGGGGTGGCTAAAGTTACTCTAAAGTACAGCTAAAGTTACTCTAACCAAGTGAAAAATCATTTAGATAAAACATTAAAATGGCTGAAACTCTGCAGCTTCTAGGGGGAATACCCCTGGACACCACCACCCCTCCTCAACCCCATCACCATAGGTCCTCATTTGCCACTCTGGTAAAAAAAAAAATCTTGGATCTGACACAGGACACTGATCAAGAACAATGCAAGTTTTGCTGATGAATATTTACTTTGGAAATCCTTGACGAGGTTACCAGCAACTTTAAGTGCGTGCGAAAAAGGACAGACTTATTACTGGTATTATCATCTGTTATATTGTCACGGAAAATATTTTCTCATTCTAATTTCATTTGAAAGCTAATTACTTACTTTACTACACAAAGCAAGCAATTGAAATATTTAATTATACATTTATTATATAGTTTAATCATTAGCTCAACTAAGACAGTGAATTTTATACTCACACTCAATTGTTTCTTTCAGAATTACGCTAATTATCTATGTTTGAGCCCACATTTTATTTAGAATAAATAATCCCTTTCTTTGTACTGTTTAAAAAACATGTTTTGTACATTAATTTTGCCCAGATCAACGGACAGACCCTGAAAAGAAATAAAGCAGTTCTATATGGTTTACTAATCTCACCCGCAAGAACACAATTTTTTAGTTTAGTTTAGTCATTCAATAATGCTCCATTCAGCACCATTTGGTCTCTAAATATGTTTCTGCAATAATTAACCCCAGGGATGGCACCAGTTGCAAGGGGCCAGAGTTAGAGAAAAAAACAACTCTATGTAATTTCTACAGTTTGTGGAACTCAAAAATTAATCCAGGCCACCTATTGGAGACATCAAGTCAGACAAGTCCCAGCATCACCCCTGACTATCCCATTCTACATTAACATGCAATTCACACCTACATTACATCCCTCCTGTTGACTTTGACAAAGTGATGTCACTGATGAAATCAACAACAATCAACAACATGTGTAAGTGCATTGTAACATTGATATGAATGTGCATGAAATAAGCCGGTTACATCAATATTCAATAAAAAAAAAATAATGATGACAAAAGTGATGATAAGAACAAAATCAATTGCAAACAAATTATTCATAAACAATTTTAGAAAAATTACTTGGTTGAATCAGAATTATCAATTGTCAGTTATCGCCATTATAACAAAACAAAACATGAAACATCAAAATATATAACCTAATAAATAATTTGGTCATAATAATTATTGTTTGAGCACGTTGCTTGAGTAGAAGAGCACTATCTAACATGGAAATGCTGGGTTTGCATTTACTATACAACAAAATATCCAGAATGGTTGTGCAAGTGCATCATCAACTATGGATGGATAGTTCAGCCAATGTGATCTTAATAATTCCAACAAAGTTCAGAAATCACATTGTGCCTGATACAAATTCAAAGCCTCAAAGCGTTCTTACCCTGGTCATTTAATTCATAGAATGGCAGACCAGCACAAAAGTGCAACTTTTCCACTCCATGGGGGAACACCTAGCTGTGGTGTATGATACACGGACATGTATTTAATGCCACAGGTACCCATTTATACTCCTGGAGGAGAGAAAACACAATTGAAGTGTCTTGCCATAAGGAAAATTCACAGTAGAGGTGGGGACGAACCCTGACCCTGATGAAGCCTAAACAGCACCCAGTGCGCCAACTACTCCTATTTTGTTTGAAAGCATAAGCCTTGTCCACACTGTCAAATTTTATGTGACAAATTGGTGTGATGTTCCCATATATGGGCATGATGATGTCATTATTACATCCAAATATGGGCATATCACATTTATTGTCACATAAAATTTGAGTGGGCGGAGAGAGCTTAAGCTACAGGAAAATTTAGTGTGCAGACTTTTAAGTAAGAGTATTCAAACAGGAAAAAAAAAATGGATGGCAAGGTCATGCATGAGTGCCTTTGTGTCAAGATTGACTGGTTCAGCCAAGGTTGTGTTCCCTATGTGAATTAAATTCTATAACAAAATATGAAGATATCCTGTGCGCAAGAAAAGCTTTAAATTTAAAAGTTGATTCAAATGCATTGGCATTACAAAAGGATATGTGTTGCGCATTTCTATTTTTACACCTTGATTTTGAGTGATCATAAGTTAGCACTTTTCCCATTATGAGCTGGTGTAACAGGATTGGTAGTGGATGGCTTGAAGGTGTTTCAAACAAAAAAATGAGCTTTATAAGTGCCAGTGCGAAAGCAATAAGGACAAGCTTCAGTAAAAACTCTTAGTGTACACTCCTTATTTTTGCAGAACACGCAAATTGACAGCTAAACTTACAGTTCTAACAGTAACTGCAGTTAAAACATTTTTCCATTAACACATGGCTGCCATTGCAGAGGCAGATGTATTTCACATCAATTCCATCGTTTTCAGAATCTAACAGGAATCATATCGTAAACATTCAACACAAACTGCTAGTGAATATTCTGGATGGATACAACAACTATTTTCTCTGCATATCACCTTCCAACAAGATTCAGTAATTTGAAATCTAGCTACATTTTCCACACAGATTCAGAAATCACATTCTTGTAATAAGGTTGTTTACCAAAGTGTCTAATTTTCTTGGTGGATGAGATTACTTTCCCTGGGTTACTCTTTCTTTACAAAGTGTCAGATATTTCCTACGGATTAATAATTTCAAATTCATCATCAGAGTCCATCTCTATATGTTCATTGTCAATATGTAGCATACTGGAAGCTGAAAATAAAAACATAATAATTTGTACAAGAGTCTGTTCTGTATTTTATATATTTTGGTATCTGTTCAGTAACAATATCAAAATTTCAGTAGTAATCGGAAAATTTCTATATATTAGTACCAACAGGAAGCTGAAGTAATCTGACAAATTCAGGTTGTCCAGTGTGTTAAAATTGTGACCAACTCTGGGGAAACCCAACATTTGTTGCAATATCTAACTTTCCACTAGTACCTATACAATTTTCAAAAAATTTGATTTTGCATTTTATAAATGAAGTTATAAAGATAATTGATGAACATTTTTTCAATAAATCTAATCTGAAAAATATATTAAAATATTTTTAAAATACAAATCCTAATAATAAACTATTGATTTTGGAATCTTTGGAAGCTGTTTTCTAAAAACCCACATGGCTGATATCCAATGATTTGAATATTCATAACTTCACTAAACTAAAAACCAATTTCCATCTAATAAACATTGTTTTAAAGAAGAATTCATGCTGAATTTAAAAATACCGAACAAACGATTGAGTTTTGCAAAAGCTGGTCACATTGCTGATGAAAAACTCATTTTTGTCAGACTCCCCTTATAAAAACACTATATTCTGTATTCCAGTTTGCAGATCAATTGATTCAATTCTACAAATAACACCAGAATTTTTGATTGAGAATGTTCAAGAACAGAACAAATTCACTCATCGCAAACAAAACAGACTGACGCAACATTTTTAATATAGTACAGTTTTCATTCTAGCTTAACATAGATCCAACCATCGACCAAATTTCAGGAGATAACTTAACGCACAATGTTTCAGATATGCACAGTGAAATTTACGTAATGTCATTGCATCCTACGTTCTAAGTCATCGCAAATTGAAAGCTCTCTATCAACACCTCTTACCCTAAAGCCCTGTCCAGACTATTACAAACTGTTGTATGCCCATATATAGTCATGATGTACCTATATATGTTCATGGTTGTGATGTCATCATGACCATATTTAGGTATGTCACATGTTTTTGTCAAATAGAATCTGATAGTCTCGACATGGATTCATGTTCGTGCATGCAAACAACACAAGAGGATTTGAAAATGCAATACTTACTATCAATGCTGTGGTCGAGTGAACCTGGTGCCTCAAATGGGGGCCAATGTAGAGGTCTTGATTTTGTTAATTCGAATACTGGGCTATGGTCACCTATGGTCACAAGTTCACTGACCACTTCGCACCAATTCTCAAAATCATTCTCATCTTTACAGAAAAAACCCTGTATTAGAAAAGAAAAAAACAATTAGCCTACACAAGACATTGCAGGTACAACTGTACTGTATGTGCTCAGATTTTTAAATTTTAGTTTAATATGCATTCACATGGATGCAATTTAGGGTAGTAGGGAACATGGGTAACATATTTTCTCATGTGAAGAGGCCACTAGACAGGTTATCTAAAGCTCTGTCTACACTATAAAATTGTCTTCAACAAAAACTGATTGTATGCCCATATGTAGTCATGATGTGGCCATATATGGTCATAATGCGATGCCATCATGACCTTATTTAGGCATTTCTCATGCTTTTGTCAATTAAAATTTGATAGTCTGGACAGGGTTTTACCAAAAAAGCCACAATATGAACATTTAAAATTGGAATAAATAAATCTTTAGAAGGCTATTGGCCATGGTACAAATGCAAGAGTGCAATTGATCATTTAGAGGCAGTATACTAAATTCATTTGATTGATTATTATTACAATGCAATGTATTAACAACATAACTTGAGAGGGCATTTCTATCATTAAAAAATTAAAATCTTGAATTTGTAGGTTATGGATATAAGCAGCGCTCAGTGACTGTAGTGGAGATGTAGCTTGGTGCATGCTTGACTTCCAAATCTTGGATCTTGGGTTCAATTCCTGTGACAACACAAGATTATTTCTCACAACTAAAACACATCTCCACTTCCTAATCCTTGTAATTAGACTTAACTGATAAAGCATCATGTTCTTTCAATTATTTAGGAAGGCCCTGAAAATCAGCCAACTTTCTATGATACACTGAAAGAAAAAAAAAACTATGCGCGGCTCCTTTCTAAATATCTTGGGAGTGCAACAGGCGACTGCAATGTCCGTTATTCTTACATAGTGATGCATGCTAATCTTTAGTCTAATTTCTATACAATCGCTACAATTTTTTTCACTGCAATCATTACTCTACGTAACCCCACCCAACACAATCAGAACGGATTATCAATTCAACTGACCAATCAGCATCACCAAAAACTGTTCACGATAGTTTGTAGCCATTTTATGGAAACCAGGTATTGACATGGATACTTACAAGAGCTATTGAAGGGTCCAAATCTTTAATTTGCATTGTAGAGGAATGATAACAATGGTAGGAATCATCAGATATGTTGCCCCATTTGTCCTCGACTACCGGTATTTGTGTCGTGTGGGGGTCAAGGTACAGAAGTAGGTCCCCTGTACATAAACAATTTCAATATGTTATCAAGTGGTTTTGCCTTTTCATTTGAAAACAACATAAATAACACTAATTTATAAAAAAAAATTCAATTGACTAAAATAAAACCAGTTACCAACATGTTATTAAGTAAGTCTATTCAAACAAAATAAAGAAATTTAAAAATATAGTTAATACTGAATATATAGATTATCATTATACGTAAATATGAAAATAATATTATTTTTCTAAACACATTACAAATGATTCAATTCAATTAGAATTAAAATATAAAATTATAATTAATAAAATGACAGTAATCAATAATATTTTAAAATAAATTACAGATTACAGATTTTAAAATAAATTAAAGAAGTGTTTTCTCATCAAATTGAATTGCAAAATGCGCCATCAGCACCACTCTCGTGCTGGATATCAGCGCTATACAAATTTCCATTTGTTATCCTCCTGTGCAACCTGTTACTGCAGATTTATAATTACATTGATGTAAAATAAAAAAAAACTCACCGACACAACCAATGAACCAATGTGCATGGTTTGGCTTGCCCCCAATCACACCCAGGGTCTGGCTCAGCGTGAAGCACTTCTTCAGTGCTTTCACATACACCGAGTTGATCTCATTAAGGCCTAGCCTCAGCGGGATGAACAGAACCAGTGGCTTCCATTTCTTTTTGCTTTTCATTTGACTAGATGAGCAAGCACTTCCTTTCTTTTTGCCACTTTTGCTTTTTCCTTTTGGGGATGGGGTACTGGTGACGTCATTACTAATGCACAGTGTTTCTAAAAAAATGTTGGAAATGCCTGTCAAAAACCTAGATTTCCGGGCTAGAACTTTTTATATAGTCAATTAATCAATCATTCGATCCTTGTTAATCATCTAGCATTCCATCGCATAATGATGTTTGACTGGCAATCTACAATAGTCTACATTTTTAAAAAAATTCTGGGTTACTGGTTTGTTATTTGGTTTTCTGGAAAATTAATATCTACTGTATATATTCAGACTATTAAATTTTATTAGACAAAAACATGCCAAAAATGGTCAAGATGACACACGGCGGTTTCAATATAGACAATAAGTAGTGAGCCCTCTGTTGTTCACTATTATACATTTTAGATATTCTCGTAGTTGGGGGCGCTAACGCGGAAGCGATATTTTCATTATTCTCCATATATGGGTTTTTGTCTACCCTTTAGACGTTTATGGCGTAAATAACACAGACAAGATAACTAATATGTTTTTAAAATATAATTCAAATGTTTCTAGCAGTCTTCCATAGGCAAAACTAGGTCTAGGCTCCCTAAAAATAGCCTACGCTACGGGAGGGTAAGCTGCCGCCTGGGCTTAGGTGAAAGTAAACAATGTTTGGCCCGGAGGGTATTTAAATTATAAGTATATACGCAGTGTGAAAGTAGGCCTACGCTAGGCATAGTCTATTCGCTATAGACATATTTTTAGGATTATTCAGACCCCAAGTTTTATAAAAACATTTATCTTGTAATTTTAAAATGTTTAAAAATATTTGATTATTATTATTATTATTATTATTATTATTATTATACTTTGAAATTTCTTTTTTAGTATCTGAAGTTTGGTGGTATTATTAATGTCTGATGTTCTGTCATAATTGTTTAATGAAAAAAAATGGCAATAATAACTTATTATTTTTAATTTTAAACAAGATACAAGCGAGCTGACAAAATACATCATGGAGATAATCAATTTGAACATAAAGGAAAGAGCAGCTGGATGGTGTTCATGGAGAGCAGCAGAAAAAAATGATACTAAGACAGATATTAAGGTATTTTAAATAATAAAAATTATTCTACTTCTGTACAATGTTTTTTTTTTTTTTTAATTATGTATCATCACAATAATGCTTTATAAATCATATCGCATGTTGTTAAATACATGATATCAAATGTTGTATTTTCATTGATATCCGTTTTGGTTATGTTTTTGGGAGACCTTTACTATTAGCAAGCACCAGTCTTCCTAAGCATTAACTTGGTTGTCCATTTTTAAATGTTGCCCTTTTTTCAGTGTATGGTGTTTATTTTTTTTATTTTTATGTTTTAGAATGTTACTGTACTTGTATTCCTAAACTATTATAAAATAATAATAATAATAATAATAATAATAAAACTGTTATGCCATTTGTACCACATCGAGCGCACAATATAATTAACACTTAAAATGTTTTACTTTGCATTGCCTAGAATGAATTATATTGTTATGTAAATTGCCTAATTAAAATATATTTATATTTATCTTTTCAGCTTCTTTAATTGTTACAACGCAGAATGAAAATCAGATACTATGGTGAGATATGTTTACATCTATCCGGTTTTAATCGATATGCAAGCTACATGGAAACAGATGGACTCGTCATTTTGTCTCTGCATCCCTGCTGTTACAGACAGTTTTGTTTAGCATTCTTGTTTCTATTTTTGAAGAGACCTGGGACTTTCAGATGATGGGAAATTTATATTTTCTCTGAATCAACTTACTATTGAGAACAGATTGTTCAAAACCCCATACCCTTTTTGTGAAAATAAATTTACACACTAATTGTAACATATTTTGTTGTGCAGTACTATAATATAGTGTGAATATATTGAATTTTCTACTTACAAAGTGCAATAACAATTTGTACAAAAATAACTGTGAGTATTAACCTGATTGCATACCTTTAATTTGGATTCCTGATGATGACATAATTAATATCAAAGTATTGAATCCCTAAACTTTGAGTATGTATTATTCTATCTGTATCCGAGAATAATCAGTGGACCTTTCGGTTTAATTTGGATTCTTGTATTTTTTAAAGGTTTATTTTGTTCATTAAAAATATAACATGTAGAACATAATGTTTGTGTCTATTTGTAAACTGAGGTGTAAGAAGAATGATGATTGTAAATGATACTGATGATTTTCACAGATGAATATTGGATCATTGTTTACATTTATTTATATTTTAAATTTTCTTTATTTTAGAGCCATCCTAATTATTGCCATCAAAATATAAAATGTTATTCAATGCAAGCCTGTATTTATATATATTAGCTGAATAAAAATAATATATATATTACACAATTATAATTTTAACATTTAACAACATTAATGCAGCAAAGCCTTTCCAAAACCCCAATAAAATCTAGGCCTCAATCTAGGCCTAGCGCATGTATAACCAACGCGTAAACTTGCGCGTATGAGCCCGTGGAGTTGTCAAGAACGCCTAGTAAAGCCAAAATATTTGCTGTTTTCAATCAAAATTTTTTAAAATCGGAAGAAGTTGTCAGGCCAATATTTTACAGAATACAAGAACAGACACTGATTGTTCATTGGCGACCAACGATAACATCCAGAAAAATTGCACAATTTTGTAAAACGACGATAATTACGACCATGTTTAGCGATATTAACATCTACGGAGTTAGGGTGTTGTTTGTTTAAATTTTTACTGTAGACCGGCCTTACTTTTCTCATTAAAATTCATGATTTTTATATAAATTCATGCATTGCAAAAATTTTGTTTAGTAGCTGATATAATAATTAGACAAACAGAACATGAATGGGGGGATATTATACTCATATATTATTTTTTGCACAATTCTACTATGTACCAAAAAATGCAGTTCTGCTAGGCTCGCACGATCCCAATCGCGACATGAGTGTATTCGTTCGAGGCTTGCGGTGCGTAAATATATGGAAGGCGCGTTGAAAACACTTATTGTCCCAATATAGTGCGTATGAAACCGCCGTGGACACCACATCATGACCATATACAGGGACATAATGACTATATATGGGTATACAGTTAGTTTATCATATAGAATAGTAATTTTAATAATCAAATTAGTGGTGATGTATATTTTTGTCATCAGGCTACCAAGTTTAACATGGCTTGGAACGCTTTTAAATTTGCATGCATAAGAAAAATACAATTATGATGGTTAAAAATATAGAATAATTACTTTCTTATTAGGGATATTAATATCATGAATAATATTTGTATTATCATTATAACCCATAGGCTACTTATTTAAATATCTTGGCCAGTCAATACACATATCTTAACTAGTGATGACAAGGCAAATGTAGGTTTAGTGAGATATCTTAAAACCTGTCCAGACTATAAAACAAACATGTGACATGTTTAAATATGGTCGTGATGACATACATCATGACCATATATGGGCACATCATTACTATACTGTACAGGCATACAACAGTTTTTTGTCAAATAAAAATTTGATAATCTAAACAGAGCTTAAATTTAGCTAGTGATCTAATTGATATCAATGCATGTGTTTGTGATATCAATATTGGCTAGTGGTTTTAATCTAGGCTATTAACATTATAAGCACTAGTGATGGGCAGAAAATGTAAATATAAAATAATGAGCCAGTAACATTTGCTAGATATTTTAATATGGGCAAGTAATATCAATAAATCGGGCTAGTATTTTAGATATATTGGGTAGAGATATTATATATGCGCTAGTGAGTTTGGGCAAGTTATTTTGGGAAACTGAATTTCAAATCATTGATGAGACTTACTTATATCTTCAATGACAACTGTGTTGTCAAGGGCAACATGTACAGCAACATCGCTCCACTCATCGAAGGCACATAGTTTACGTATGACCTGAGAGACAGTGTTTGGTCCAAACCATTGGCCTATGCTCTTGCCTTCACCAATCCCCATTTGTGCTGTAACGACAAAATATTAATAATTAGTACAATAGATGACGATGATTAATACTGTAACGGTGATGATAATGTTTTTAAAAATAATGTCAACAGAGGCGGTGGACAACCAATGGTGATGACTATGATGGTAATGGTGCTGGTGATGACGACGATGATGATGTTGTTGAAAATTATGGTAATTATGATGACAATGATGGTGATGATGATCAGAGAGATTTCTGAAGGTTGAAGAGACGAAAAAAACTAAAATGTACAAATGGAGGAAAAGAAAAGAGGAAATATTGGGGTAGACGTCAGATAGCTTGCTCACAGCCACACACTAGTTAAGCTACAGAGTCTTCAGCAGGTTGAAAGTAGCAGCATACAAAAAGAAGTAATACGATGACAATGATTCTACTGCTGATGATGATTATAATAATAATAATAATGATATAAGAATAACAATAATAGTTAAGCCAGGCATGCACTGCGTTGAATGACCACTGGCACACGAATCCATTTCCACTCGCTTTGAGCACTTGACACCATCTGCTGACTGTCAATGGCAGTCCGGGAGGATCGTCACTCAAAATGATCCATTGTGTGCACCTTGTCGCGTTCTCTATGGAATAGACTTGGCCAACAACTATAGGCGCAGTGTGTGGCCAACAGCACAGTATCTTTTAACAAGAGTGTGCTATGTTCAAAGGTTCACAAAGTCCTACCTATTTGATGTATTGAATATGGACTGTCTTTTTTGTCTAGAAACATCCTTAGAATTTTAAAATATATATCATCATGCTGTGTTTGCTGCCATCTCCAATCTAGAAAGAGAAGATAAAAAAGAAAGTTAAAAGGGAATGGAAGAAGGGGAAAGGAAGAAGGGGAAGGAAAAAGGAAATATGAGGGGTGAATGAAAAAAGTGAAAAGAAGAGAGAAGGAATTAATAAAAATGATCAGATAATATTAGGAAAAAAAAACAAAAAACCATTGCTATTATAACATAAAACAATATAATTGAGCATAGAATAAGTTTTAAAATTGTGTAGTACACCAAACAGTGTATGTGGAACGTTTGACCAAAACAATCCAGCTCACATAAAATTCTGCTTGATAAAATTACACTTGGGAGATCTGGTTTAATGAGCTTTTTGTAACACATAATATTGTATTATGCTGTGTGAAGTGTTACCACCGTTGGCCACCCAACTTCAGGTGGATATTATATGATTACAATAGTTAAAACATCCAAACATCATGAATTTGCAAAAATAGACTAGTTTCTGTGCAATCTTTTTTTTGCTTGTGAGAGTACGGAAGGCGTTAGACTATGTATATAGTATGTATTAACTAGGTTAATTCCAATAGATAAGTTGAAAAGTACCAAAAAACACTGCCTAGTCATGTGACTGCAGACTCACTTACCTCGTCCTAAATGCCTACATATAAGAGCTTGGGCTAGCATCATTTGACCACACCTTAACATACAGCCCCAGCCAGTGTCTGATGTAGGACCCGTACCACCTACAAAATACATTCAGAATGTCTAGAGTTAAAAAATAAAACATATAATATTTGATTTTCTTTCTGTATTTCTGGCCACTCAGCTTTTTTGTTACCCAGTGCTGCTGGTGGCAGCATAGGGCGGTAAACGATCTTAGGGGGGTTGTTATTAAATACAAAACAACATGATAAACAATCAACTTTCTGTAGCTTGTTCTAGCATCAATGATGTCTCTATAGAGGCTTGGGGACACCCTTCCCCACAAACAGCTTGCACCCCCACAGGCTCCAGAAATTTGCTGACAAGGGGTTCGACAAATGCAACAGTGGGGTCCGAACCAAAGTATCGACAAGGATTCAGCCAGGGTTTCAAAATGACATCTACTGTACCTGGTAGAATTCATAAGGAGACTTTTTATGGCTTAGTATGGCCAAAAATTGTGCTTATAGAACACCATATTGATATATAGGGGGAGGGGATTCCCGGCTGGTGCCACCATTGCCACATGCTTCTCCACTCCCTACATCCCTCTCCACACTCTCGAGATCTGCTGAGCAGAAAAAAAGAAACGCTTGAGCCATTAAAATTCACCTTCAGGGGCGGACCTAGGATAAGGGGGGGGGGGAGAAGAGCATTTTGTATTGTCAGCATTTAACCTCCATCAGCACCCCAACCCCAATATCAGTACTTCTTTTTATGCCATTGTCTAGTAATATTACACGTACCTATTGGGGGGAAGCCTCTCCGGTATGTTATCCATACTCTAGAAGCAATGTCCTTCTTTGCCTTCTTCCTATCTCCTAGTCCCACCGTCTCATACTTCTCGCCAAGCACCCATACTGGATCGTCGGTGTCCTCTGGCAGTTCTTCATATGCTACTATGCCGCTTTCATACGTCACACAAGCTAAAATGAAACCACAATAAATTAACTCTACTTTATGATATAATTATTTTATTAGGATGTTCTTGATGTTGGCAAGTTCAAGCGCGTTAGGCCAAGAAAGTGAAAGAGTGTGGTGACGGTATGAGGGGGCCTTGAATGGGCCTACACATTTTCTGTTTGCTACTCGGTGATGATACACTAACCTTAAGGAACGGTTTGCATATTTTTGAATGAATGGAATAATTACTCGGCAAGTAATCACTACAACAATGTTTGGTAAAAATTATAGTTGCCTAAAAGTAATATTAAAAACAGTCGAATAGATTGCATATATCATGAAAATGCGTTTTTCTTTCGTTGCTGTCAATGTCCATCAGGCCACGGGCAATAGCGGTAGAGTTGTGTATAAAGCTTTCACGTTCTTGGCACAGCGCACTCGCCAATATCCGACGAACTTTAAAAATAGAAAAAATATGATTTTGTAAATTTTTTTTTTTTGTCGATTTCTAATATATATAACTATGACATGTGAGTTCCATCCATGTAGCTTTCATTTGCTGCAGAAGATGCTTTACTTCAGACCAGTGGTGTATCTAGAAGTCTTAAAATGGGGGTGCTGATGGGGAGGGGGGCGTAAAGGTGAAATGGGAGTGTTCGATGATCAGTTGAGGGACGCTAACTTGCAAAATAAGGTGATTTTAGGCGACTATTAATTACTTGCAAGTGATTATTTTTGGGGAGGGGGAGGCGTGAGCACCCCCATAAATACGCCACTGCTTCAGACATGCTAATTTGAGCCTTAATTTGGAGATTAATTTCTCTTTCTACAGTATAATTATGTATCAAAGTAATATCGCCGCCAACAAAATACGAGCATTCACATTTTTATTATTATTTAAAAGAGCTGTGACTCCTTGCGTAGAATGTCCACAATGTGCTCATTTTTTGTTCAGGCAAAAAAAAAATTTTTTTTTATTTCCTTTATTTTACGAAATGTACGAAAATCTAGGTAACTCGCATCAGTAAATTTCCTCTCTCGATCGTTTGTGGTTGGGGATACATATGAATCCTGTCTAGTGCTTCTTTTATTTGCTGTCAATGTATCTACTTGGTAAAAGTGAGAAAGTAGTAACTGTTTCTCACCGACCATCTTGGATCTGCCAACTCGGAGTAAAAAAAAATGGAAAAAAATTTTTGTGCACAACTATACAGTAGATACAGTACATCAAAAGTATAAGGTGTGAACAGAGTGGTAGTCTATATTTAGCTTCTACCATTATTATAACGTAACACAAGACACCTTTAACGGCACATTGCCATTTTGATAAAAATGCTTAAAAAAGAAGTAAAAAAAATTAGTTTTCCATGTTTGATGGTTTGAAATTGTAGGCCTACCATCATTTTACTTTTTAGGTATGAATCATTAATGTATTGTAAGCTGATAATTTTAATAATATAAATATCTGTTCAATCAGTGGCTTACTGCCTGTCGGCTCTTTGGGGGAGATGGGGGACAAAGTCCCAGGCCCCCAATTAAAATGGGGAACAGAGTTCCACTTACTTCTACCCAGCACAGTACTCTAGAGTCCTGACCATCTTTTCAGTAATGAAATTAGGTAGTGAGATTACCCACCCTAAAAATTCTTTCCTGACACGCAAGGGCCCCAGTGTTTTTCTTGCTCCCCGGGCCCTAAGGGAGCGCCACTGTGTTGAATACTCTTACTCAGGCCAAGTGCTTATCAAATACAGTAGGTCTACAGTGAATTATAGGGATAAAGACAATAAATTAAATTGAAGACAAAGAACCATCTTATTGGGTAGTCCAAAATCCTGATACAATACTCCAGTAAGATGTTTACTGGATACATCTCATGAAGTCAGTGCTGTACCCTAAAAATATAAACTCAATACAGTACTATAAACCTGTAGCTGTTTCCTAAGATCATGAAGATGCCATTGTTATTATCAGCAAAATCTCTCTGATCATATTATTAATAACAGTATAACATATTATTCAGGCTTGAGGAAGATAAAATTACCTGTATTTATACAAAGAATTGGTTCTGAGTCCAAGCTATCTGTTTCTTCAGGCCAGTTCATTTTAGTGGTGGGTGGTGAAACCTGCTGGATAGTCTACTATGACAGTATGACGCAGTTACACTGCGAGTTTGTTTTTCAATAACAATAAATGCTCACTTACTTCCTGAAAGCATTTAAAGGGACTTTCCCTAAAATGGGTTTAACAAACTATTTTTGGATATTAACAGGAATTCGAAAAATAGAAGGGTCCAGAAAGAGACTTCCCCAGATGGGGGCACTTCCCCAGATGGGGGCTAGAATACCCCACCCATGGTGGGGCTGAGGTAAAAAAATTTATGATTAAGGCACCACTAGATGGCTGGAAATGGCACAGACTTAATTTTGAATATAATTTTCCTTTTTTCTCCATTTAAAAAAAATAATTTTAAAAAATTTAGGGGGAGGGGCCCGGGGCCAGCATTTAATCCACCACTGTTAACTACCACAATTAATATGTTTATTTAGCAGTAATCAGAAAATAATTGTTTTTTTAAATATCTGTCTACGATTTGTTTTGTTTAAAAACATGTTTTATTATTTAAACTGTGTTTAACGAGGATTATTCATTGAAAGAGTTTACAGTATCAGTAAAACCTCTTCCTGCTTTACTGTATTGAGCTTTAAGGCAAATTAAAACTGCCATATGTACTTCTTTTTGAGCTTTTGTAGTTTTTTTTTTTCATAGTGTAATTTTCTATTTGTGCAATGGGAAAATTGATAAAGAGGTAACAAGCATACTTGGAATTTGTCAATGGTTGAGCAATCATAAAGCCCATGAATCAATTCTGTAATACAGTACTTACAATATACTCTACAGTACAAGATACCTTACCCATTTCGCAAACACCATCACAACAATAGTTTTGCATGATTAAAAGTATAATTTGGCATTCAGAGTCAACATTGCGTCGGACAGAATTTCAAAAAGTGGCGGGATGAACTTCTATTTAGTGGCAGTATGGAAAAGATTTTTGTTTAAATTGTTTACATTTTTTTACGGTTGACAGACATCATAAATTACATCATAAATTTGTCAAACATGTCAATTTTCTGCTATATTTTTAATTTTTAATTCATACTGCATGCAATTCAGCCACGTGCTGCAATGTACAGTATATATTTTATTGGAAGGATTTAATAAATTAATCAAATAAAATAAGAAAAATGTAAAATCTGGAAAAAATGATTTTAGGAATACATACTGCCACAGAGAGGAGTGTTCTTGAAACAATGCACATACAGTAGCACCCCTTCAATTTAGGTCTAAATAAACCAGATCCTCCTTCAGATGTTTTTGAGTTTGGTGTGCTGATATTCGATTTAAAACTGTATTGGGTATTGGCATAGGATTCAAAATGCTTTTTGGAAAATAAATTATATATGACTACATAGTACATGAGTTAAAGTTTCTGAAAATATATTTTGCTTGAAAGTAGATGGCCATTTTTTTTTTTTAAATGGCTGTGGAAATTTGCATGCAAATTTAGACTTTATATTTTATGTATCAATAAATTGCTTCCACCTTTTGGCATCTATTGGGCTGTCAATTTTTTCTTTATCTTTTTTTTTTTTTTTTGACTTTCCAAAAGGCCAGGCCGGTCCCCCTCTCAATCCGTACCTGGTTACTTAGTAGGATGAAAAATAATTTATGTGATATCTTATTTTTGTACTACTCTATTTGAGCTTCCTGGCCTTAATTAAGCATAGAATTCATAAATCCACATTATCTCACAAAACATCCAAATTATGTTTCTTTATAAATTAAAAGTTGTTTTCTTAATAATCTAACATTACAAATAAGCGTAACGTCAGTTACCAACCGGTTATTATAAAAATATCTTACAAAAAATTAATAAATTTGTAACCACTAACCGTGTACTTCTAGTATAATGCAGTATTCCATGGCATGCAACTCAAGTTTTGTCTGTCTGTTGGACAGAGATATCAGAATTTGTTTTAATTCTTTGTTTTTGTGTGTCTAATTTATGTAACGTCAGTTACCGCACTCATTTCCTCTGCTAAATCTGTACTACAAATGGTACAAAGTTTAAATTGGTATTCCTGTATTTCACTCCCTTAGTACTGTACCATGTAGCATTAAAAGAATAATTTGGTCTTTAATATATTTAATATTAAGTGAGTAACAATGTGAATATAAAGGATGAAATGTAATGTCCGTTACCAAGGAATTGCCCTACAGGTCTATAGCAGATACAGAAGCAAACTAGAGCAGCTACTAAATAGAATGCTGCCCTGTGCATGAATACAACAATACGCTGGCCATGTATGATGGGCGATTCCATATATTCTGCCATGTGGTTGAATACCAACGAATACACCGCCGGGCCAAGTATCATGGGCATATTCACATTTTTTGTGAGTGCTTCATTATTCACGAATAATATATAATACATTTATTTTATTACTAGGGAATTATTTGTCATTTATTATTACATATTAAACTTAGATTTGAAGAAGGCATAAAGTATTAAGAATTTGCTATAGGTACTGTAAGCCAAGCTAAGCTACAGCAGGCTAGGCCGTACTGAGTAGGCCAGGTAAAAGTGGCCGACATGATTCATTGTTTGCCATCCAAAAGACAGCTGGAGGACTTGCAATGGATTTAGATCTTGGTGGCGGGAAAAAAATTGTAGAATGCTCTGATAGATCACGACCAGTATGGCCTTGGAAACTTAATTGTAGGGAGCATGTGGTGCAGCTTGTAAGGTGTTGGACTTCTGGTAGTGAGATTGGGAGTTTGAGACCAACGCTAGCTGCACTGCTTGTGTCCTTGGGCAAGACACTTTACTTTATACGTTTGCCTCTTTTCACCCAGTAGTATAAATGGGAGGGTCATGCTTTTAACCTGCTCGTTGGTGACCCTGCTACGACTGTCCCAGTTAAATTAATAACAGCAACTAGATATCAATTGATATCACATGAACGAACTTCAGATCTGTGTTGAAATTATAGGATGCTTCAAAAGCAAAAGGAACAGAAATGTGTTCTCTCTGAAAATGTGGGTTTTCCCTCCTAAATTCAGGTTGCATGAAAAAAATGCAGCCAACGACATCCATAATTTGCGGTAAATTTTAAATAGCTGCTTGTTTTGCAAGAGCAATCATACAAATCAAAACATTGGTGATCTCATCATTCCTTATTTTGAGTTAGACTTTAAACATAATACACTATGGATATTCTTCTGACATGCTGTGTAGTGCACTAAGGCACAGTTAGCAAGACAAAAGATGAAGATTAAAGTTTAAGCCAGATCCACCAATTGACACTTTAGATTTACGGAAAATCGTTGAAAGAATATCCACAGCCAACATAATTAATTTACTGAAAATAGGTGCTTACTCGTTGTGTCAAGCAGTGCCTAGGTCTACAGTCTACTACACAGGCCTAGGTCCTCCATGGCTTAGGCTATGTGAGATTGAATTTTTCAGGTTCGTCCGTTTACACCATATGTTTATGTCGAATACTCGAAATGGTCCCTTATTTGGGACTTGACATCGAGGAATAAAAACTGAGTGCGCATGACACAGGCAATGGACGTGACACAGAAAAAGAAACAAAATATGTGCAGGAAAATTCATTTTGGTGCCAGTCAAACTTGACTTCTCCATTGAATGTTTGCAAAACAAAAATCTTAAAAACCTCTCTCGGATTGTGAGAAGTTGAGTTGAGTATGGTAAAATGGTGGTTCAAAATCAATTTTACCTAGGCCTACCAGTAAAAAAAATGGCACATGGCCATAACAAAGCACCTTTTAGAACCAAAAGCATTAATAATTAAAAATTAATCAATTAACAAATAAACAATTCATTAATCCCGCTTTTGAACAAAATGTTCCGCTCTCCTTCCTACTACTTAGTACTACTACTGTCTGACTAGGCCTAATACACTGTGCTGTCTAGGCTCTGGCCTAGTCTGACCAGCTTAAAGCCTACTGCTGTAGGTTTAATCTGCTACACTTGCTGAGCAATTATTAATTTAGGCCAAGGCTAGCCTAATAAGCTACAGCACAAAAAGGGCTCTTGTTGCAGCTCTAGCCGCCTGGGTCCGTTCCGTTCGGCGTTTCGCCGTTACTTTAGCTAGGCAATCATTTGTTTGTAGTAGGCCTACGCATTGTTGTTGATTTTATCATAAAAATCTCACCTGCAGCATCAGGTATATCCATTGACTTGGACATTTGTCTTTTTCTGAATACAGATTACTGAGAAAATGGCAAGCAATTGTCTCTTTTCATTCATTGTTTTCCATTATGAAGTTCGTCACTGACCTGCTGTTCTACTGTGGCAATGACATAATTGTTGTTTATAGAACACGAAAAGTGCCTTTTATAGAGGGCGCAACAATGTTTTCTTTCCTTTTTTTTTTTTGCAATTTGCAATGGCCTTTGACGTGCACCCGTGTGCGTCTGTCATATCAAATTCGTCGAAAGATTGTAAACCACCAAAACTTGAATTTCCAAACACCTTTTGTAAGTTTATGGATTTTGGCATACATGTAGTAATTTTGGTCAGTGATCCCTAAAACATAAAATCAACATGATCTTGGACATTTCTTACGAAAACATGTATTTAGGTAACCCGTAAGTTACGGCAAGGTAATTCAACAAAAGGACGCACATCTCCGCTCTCGAACATAGCGCGTGCGTACAGTCCTTTGATCTTTACTGTGGCATCGACAATCCGATACTAGTTGCGAGTACAGCCGTCAATTATTAGT